CACATGTTCACTGGACTTCAAATTGCAGGTCTTTACACCCTTTTTCAATCTATGCGAGGAATCAATACTGGAATGGCCAAGCCCCAAATGCCGCAGTCTAGTCGAATCAACAGAAGTCGTCAGCTCTCCACCTGCCACTATACCTCCAGTCAAGTAATACAGGTTATTTCTCCTAACGTCCTTCATCACAATCTGAGAGTCTCTCGCAATCTCGAGAACCATGTCCTCAATTCGAACATTCAGACCCTTTCCAACCAAAGCTCCAATCGAGATCAAGTTCTTCCTCAAAGAAGGAACATATCTCACATCATTTAACTCTCTAACAGTCCCGTCAAACATCTTGATGTGAATTCTTCCTATCCCAAGGATCTGGCATGCACGGTTATCAGCCATGTACACCACACCACTATCCACCAGCTTCTCAAAACTGAAGAACCATTCCCTTCTAGGACACACATGATAGGTCGCACAACTATCTAACATCCATTCAGATTCCTCCGAATAGCTATCTGTAGGACTGATAGAAAGCGAATAAATAGAAGAGTCAGAATTATTACCATCCGATACGATGTTTGCTTCTGATGATTGTTGCTTCCCTTTTCCCTTCTGTTTATTCTTCATCCATTCGTAGAGCTTTGGGCAGTCTTTCTTCCAACGACCAGTCTCCTTGCACCAAGCACACTGATCTTTTCCTACTCTAGACTGTGACTTCCAATTCTTTCGGTTTGGACCCTTCCCTCTTGCGATCAATGCCTCCGCTACCGGCTCAACTGAAGCCTCCTTATCCTTCTTTCGAAGCTGATAATTCACCAATGCAGCAGTGACCTCACTATACGGAAGAGATGACTTCCCATTAATCAGAGTAAGGACGAAGGTTTCATATTCCTAGTCGGGCAAGGAACTCAACAACAACAACGCCTTGTCCTCATCCTCAATTATGACATCTACATTCGCCAAATCCGCAAGAAGCTTCGTGTAGTGGTTCATGTGATCTCTAATGGAGGTTCCCTTCTTTAATTGGAAACGATAAAGCCTCCTCTTCAAATGCAAGCGATTTTCCACACTCTTGGTCAAATACTTGCTTTCGAGAATCTCCCAAATCTTCTTCGCAGAAGTCTCATTCATCACATCATATTTTAGATCTTGAGTCAAACAAGACCTAATCACACTACACGCCGTTCTATTCATCTTTTTCCAAACATTCTCTTCAATCTCATCTGGCTTGCCATCTAACTCCAATGTATCCTCTAAATTCTGCGCGTTCAGCGCATCCAAAACCTCGCATCTCCATAATCCAAAATTATTTGTGCCATTAAACTTCTCCACATCTATCTTCATAGAGTGGATATTCAAACTCTGAATGGTCTTCGCGCCAGAAGCACCACCCTCGACACCCGAAGCACCTTCTTTCCCCGACATCTTACGCACCAACGAACGAAGAATAGATCCAAAACTAAAAAGATAGAGTCTTTACCAAAAGATCCCACCTTTTTTCACCAACGAAGCCCTAAACGAGCCTTCAAATTGATCTACTCCTCCAACCAAACCCTAGATCTGGAATCTGGGCTCTGATACCACTTGTTGTGCGCAGCGAAAATTTCGGCAGAGTTTCTGGTGCACAATAAGAGAGAAAGATTAATAAGAATTCCCGTCTCACCAAGGAAACAAGAATCTAAAGCGGATATCTCAACAAAGTGAGATATCAGCTCTTCCTCTCATCAGTTCTAGGACTGACTTGTCGAGGGATCCTAAAAACTATTATAATGGCCACAAACTCAAATAAACTAATTTTACGTGGTTCGGCAAACTGCCTACGTCCACGGGGTAAGGAGGGGAGATCTACTAATAGAGGGAGAGATACAATTAGGGTTTACAATCTCACAATCTAAACCCTCTCAAACAAACTCTCAAATCCCTCTTAATCTCTCTCTACAAAGACACAAAAGACTGCACAAAAGTATGCTGAAAATCCTCTCAGATCCAAGACCGAAGACTACGTTCACAAAAGCCTTGCTGCCCCACGCCGTCCTTTGCACTCTGCCTTGCTCCCAAATTTGCAGCCGCAAAAGAAACCCCAACTTGCTCTGCTCCAAAGCCGCCTTCGCACTGCTCCCAAGTCGCCGCTTTAATTTCCTTTGCTGTGCTTGTTTGTGGAAAATTTTGCAATAAGAAAATGAATGAAAGAACTGTATTTGATTTTATTCTCTCTAACTGCTTAGAAAAAGAATGTTTACAAATCTCTCAACTCTCGATTACAATTGGATTTCCTGATTACAAAAGAGAGGAGAATGAATTTGATTCTCCCCTTTGTTTAATTCTGGGTTCTTCTCGGTGGCGATAAGATGCCTCCCTCGAATGCTCGCGTCGAGTTTGATTCTTGTTGACGATCCGAAAATTTCAATTCACTGGAACAACTGACTTGTCTGGTTGATAACTCTTGACGAGTATTATAGAAAGAAAAGAATATTTATGGAAGCATAAATGTACAAGTACTCTCTCTGACATTTCAAACAAGTTGCAATTCTGAGATTGCTTGATCACATGCTAGTCTGCTTTGATTAGTATATTCTTGAATCCTATGTTTAATTTAAGAAGCTAAGTTCAACACTACTATTACTGAGCATAATACAACTTAGAAGTTTACATTCAGCTGATTGCATAGGTAAGAGAACTTGAAATTTCTTGTCTTAATTAATAACAAGTTCATAGGAGCGGAAGTCAATCTACCAAAGAACAAACTGAGATGTGTACATATTAAAAAAAAGGGTAAAATACTGAAACCGCCAACATTCTAAAAAGTATATACTAAAATACTGAATGTATCATACTGCAAAAAAACTTGCTTGAAAAGAAACTCGGCAAAGTTCCTGATCTCTTTAATGTCGCTTCTTTTCATACCGGTGATAATTTGTAGCCTACAGCAAACCAATAACAGTAATCCAATTAGAAAACCAAAGCATAATCATTGCATTAATTTCAGGAAAAAAAGCTGATGCCTTTTGATGAACAATCAGAAATTGAAGTTTAGAAAGAGATCTGAATACATACATTTTTGGCTTCTGCAGGGGGATCCATCAACTTCATCAATCTTAGCATGTCAAATAGACGTTTCGAAGCCTGCAAGTAGCAAATAGAATATATCATTACCTAAACTTGAAAAATATCAAGTGGAACAAATCCGTAATGGCTCAAAAATAAACACCGGAAACAAAAAATATCAACGTAACTGAAGTCATTATTTACAATCATGACTACTACTGAAACTCAACCAATACAAAAAATAGAGATCAAAAGAATTCCTTGTAGAAATTTCCAAATTTAGACAACTATAATGCTCTTCGGGTTTAATTCCTTGGATGAAGTGCATGAAACTAGCACCAAGTACACAAATCATCATAGCAAAACCCCAATGCAAAAAAATCTCTTTTCTAGCGGAGGAGGACAAAACTCTTGCGTAAATATAATCCCAATGACAAAACCTATCAGAAAAACAAACAAGTCGAACAAATCCAAAATCCCTTAAAAACCCATTTTCTGACTAGAATGCTTCAAGCAAGAAACAAATTTCTAAAGATAACAATCGAAAATTACTTACATTGTCATTTCGATCCTCGAGCAAATTCTTGATTTGCAGTGTCTTCTCGTCAATGCGGCTCTCAAGAAGAGCACCAGAACTCTCGTTACAACTTCTCCTCTTCATCATCTCAAACTCCCTCTTCATTTGCTCTCTTCTTCTTTCTCTGCTTTTGTTTTTTGTGTGTAATTTTCTATCAACAGGGTATTTATTTACAAACAAATATATAAGATTCTGTCCTAATACACCAAGGACTTGCAATAACTGAAGTCATATTTGGTAAGTATCGTATCATTAACAAACCTCTGTTTGATTACGACTCGGATTATGTTGAAATTAAGAATTAGTTCTAGGTAATTGTATTAGGTATCCGGATCCAATAATAACGTTTAAGGCAAAGGGTTTGTTTATCAGGTTGGGTAGGTAATTTTAATCGGTCGGATTCAAACCGTCCAGCCTGTTACTGCATTGGACCCAGGTGGACCCATTTGTAATGTTAAAGTGTTCCCAAAGTAGTTTTATACCCATATTTTATAATTTATAGTTTTATACCCACCAAGTTCATTAATTGTTATAAATAACACCCCATTGATGCCCAAATCCATTCATTAATTTCTTTTTAGTTTACTTAAGGGTGTAAAATACAAATATGAAGTTTTGAAGGCATAATATAAAAATGGGAACTTTTTTACATTAATCTGTTACATGTTTAATATTTTAAAACCAGTCTCACAAATGATTGAAATTACTATTAGGTCCATCAATTATCAAACATAGTCTCCTAAATCATTGAAATTACTATGAGATCCCTAATTTTATAAATTGTTTCAAATTAATACCTTCAAGCAAGATGACCAGTAGCAAGACGTGAGAATTAGGAGACCTAACAGCAAATTCAACGATTTGAGTGACTATGTTTAAAACATCAAAGATTTGATGAGACTAATATGAAAAATAGAATAGAATCTAAGGTCTCATATGAGACAAAAAAAGCTTGAATTAATTTTGTTAAGAATCAGGATCATGGCATTCGCAATTTGACCTCGAAAGCGAAGGTAAAAGCTATCCATTATTTTCATCATGAATGCCACTCGGTCCAGGATTACTCACCATTCCCCCCTCAATCAACCTCATGTCCAGGATGGCTCACCGAACCAAGAGGAGTCGTTCCAAACTAGAGAGATCGTCGTCTATTTCTCAGCCGCACGTCTATTTCTTCCCCAGGAAGCAATGAACAAGATTTTTGATCCGAATTCTCAGCCGCACGTGTCTATTTCTTCCCCAGGAATTTTGCTACCTCCGTAGCATTCGTTTTACGACTTCGATAAAAAAAACAATTGACGCTTGACTTTGATAAAATAAGTGGATGCTTGGCTGTAACCCTTTATCTTGGTCTCAACAAGTCGATAATCACCATCTCAACAGAACCTGCAAGAAAGAAAAACGAAGAGGGAGTGGAAAAAAAAATCAAATCAAATATGGTGGTTGTTGGAGATGTTATTGCAAGCAAAATCATTGAGAAGCTGGTGGAGGTTGGGTTTGACTACGCAGCAGACCAGTGCTTTGCTCGGCGAAGACGAATGAACGACGAGCGTCAGAGGCTCAAGGATGCTCTTCCTCGTATCCGAGCTGTCGTAAACGCAGCGGAGAGCGGGCAAGGAGAAATAACCGGCGACCTCAACAAATGGCTATGGCAACTTAAGGGTGCTGTCTACATGGCCAGTGACGTACTCGATGATCTCGATTATAATGAGATACAGAAGCGAGTGGAGACGGATGCTGCAGGAAGCGGACCTCGTGGCAGCAAGGTGAGCGGTTTTATTTCCGATTCTAAACGAAGAGTTTCCAAGTTTAGTAAAAGAGCGTTTAAATCCGACCCCGCCCTCGAGAAGCTAAGGGGGGCTGTCAAGAGGCTAAGTGAAGTGGCGGCAGGCGTTGAAGTTTTTAACAGTTTAGTAACAGAGCGTAACCAACTTCAACAACAGCAACAACAACAGCAACAACAACATCGTGAAACTGAACCTATTGTAAGGGAGAGAGATGTGCTGGGAAGGGATGGGGATAGGAAGGAAGTGTTACAGTGGTTGACGAGGGCGCCCATCGCTAATGAGGATCACGAGGGTATCTCTCTTTTCTCCATTGAGGGCCTCGGAGGAGTCGGAAAGACAACCCTTGCACAAGTCGTCTACAGGGATGACGCCGTACGGAGTTCCTTTAGCATCAAAATTTGGGTGTGTGTCTCCACTCGCTTTGATGTTAAAAAGATTACGGGAGACATCCTAGAATGCGCTGCACAAAGGAGACCGGACGTCGGAGGACTTGGCCCACTACAGGAAGCTCTTGAGGCCTTGGTGTCATCTAAGAAATTTCTCCTTGTCTTGGATGACGTTTGGAATGACGACGATCTCTCTAGTTGGCAGACGTTGTTTGCTCCGTTGAGGTGTGGACTTAAAGGAAGTAAAATCATTTTAACTGCCAGATCGGAGGAGGTCGCCGAAATGGCTACACTAGCTTTGGGAGGGATGGCAAACGAGTCGATGAAGTTAAAACCCTTGGATGGTAATGACTTCTTATCACTTTTCAACCGATACGCATTTGCTGGAACAAATCCCCATAATCATGGGAAGCTGCAATCAATTGGCGAGCAAATAGCTGGAAGGCTTGGAGGCTTGCCGCTGGCTGCCAAGACGATTGGAGCGTTATTGCGTTCTAACTTGGATGACAGTCACTGGATGAATATTCTGCAATCTCGTCATATATCAGATCACGGACCACAGAGAGATGGTGTGATGCCGGCTCTGATGTTGAGCTACTATTATTTACCGAAGCACCTAAGACCTTGTTTTGCATTTCTCAGCACCTTTCCTCAAGATCACCAGTTTTTCAAAGGTGATCTAGTTTTAATGTGGATGGCGCTCGACTTCATCCAACAATCTCCTCAGAATCCAGCACAAGCACTAGAGGATATTGGAAGCCGCTACTTTGATGAGTTAGCCAAACTGTCATTCCTTGAACCATTTGGTCTGCATAGCACAAATCCCTCAACTCAAAGATTGGAAGAAGGGTACATCATGCATGATCTTTTGCATGATCTGTCAAGCAAAGTATCTCATGGTGAATGCTTTACATTTGTTGGAGATATGTCAATCAACCAGATCCCAAACACAGTACGTCATTTGTACTCTAAAACCGGTGATCTTGGTCTTCTCAAAGATATGGGCAAATGGAAGAACTTGCACACCCTGATTTTAAAATTCAATGGATACAATGATGAGCATGCCGTGGCTTTCCGACAAGTGTTTGAATCACTAGAAAGCATTCGAGTGTTGCGCATCACTATTAAAGAAATGGAAGTGTTGCCGTGTGCAATAGGTAAATTGAGGCATCTCAGATATTTGTCACTTGATGGTCGTTTTGCTCGGTTGCCTAGTTCAATCTGCAAGCTTTACCACCTGCAGGTACTTGCTCGTAGCAATATTGAAACTTCTTCAGTTTTGGTCTTGAATAACCTTATTAACTTGAGACACCTGCTGCCATATCATATTCCCTATGGAAACATCAAAGGGATTGGGACTCTTACTTCGCTTCAAAGGTTATCTTTTGGTGCTGGTGCTTATAATAAATTTAGCGAACTAAAGGACCTGAGAGAGCTTCAGGAACTCCGGATTAGTGGCCTTCGGAACCAACGACATGACGAGGAGGTTAGTCTGGTTCAGTTCCGTGATAAAAAGAGACTCCAAGTGTTATATTTGGATTGGAAAGATGATAGTGATGCAGCAGAGGAGTATGAAAAGGTGCTCGATTGCCTCCATCCGCCTGATAGCCTCAAGGAACTCCGAATTGTAGGGTACCGAGGTGCAAGGTCCCCATATTGGATGGAAAAAGATTTGTTAAAAAATCTAGAGCGCATTGTTCTTTCCGGAAACGCAGCATGGAAGCACCTTCCTTCTCTCGGGAAGCTTCCCTATCTCAATGAATTGAGATTGTATTCACTAACAGGACTCGAGCAAATTGGCTTTGGAGGAGGATTTCAGCAACTGAAGATTTTAGAAATCCAAGATTGTGAACAATTGGAAGAGTGGTCCGGATTTGGAGCGGAGACGGCACCTTGCTGGCCTCTCCTTGGACATCTCGAAATCTCGCGGTGTCCCAAACTGAAGGCATTGCCTCCTCTGCGACTAAGCCTACAGAGATTGGAGTTGCTGGATGTGGGACTGTCTGATTCTCCAACATTCTTCCCGGCTACTCCATCCTCGTCCTCATCCTCTCCTTCCCTCACCCACATGGAAATTACAGGATGTGAAAATTTAACATCAGTGGCCGGCTTGCTGCGGCATCGCCTCAGCGCCCTCAGGACGTTGGAGATTAGCGGTTGCGAAGCTCTTGCGGATCTGCACGCAGAGGAAGGCTTTCAGCATCTGCACTCCATCGAAAGACTAGCGATTGAATATTGCCCAAAGCTGAAGATGGCTACCGACGCGGTCGCCCTTACTTCTCTTTCTCGACTTACACTGTCAGGTTGGAACCACATAACATCCTTTCCCTCCGAAGAGGCGTGCAGAAGATTAACTTCACTAAAAGTGCTGCGATTGGAAGACTGGGGAGGTCTGATGTCAGTTGAGGGTCTAAAGGCTCTTTCCCACCTTGATGTCCTACATATTCGTGAGTGTCCCAAGCTCGTGCAAGCAGCGGCAGCGTCAATTAAGGGGAAGGAGGAGGAGGAGGAGGAGTTCACATTAACCGTCGGCCGTCTATGGGTTGATGACCCCTTGCTGCTCCACGTTGAACCATTGAGAAAACTCACGTCTGTCACAAATCTATGGATAGAGGACTGTGGGAATCTGGAGAGCGAGGGAGACATCGACCCGTGGTTGTTGCGCAACAGAACTTCGCTCCGATCCATCCTCCTGAGAAAGTACAGTACTGCAAAGTCGCTGCCTCGTAGCCTCCAAGCCCTCTTCCCTGGAGTATTTAGGCATCGAAGAAGCTTATCAGCTCCAATCGCTGCCGCGGATGCCCTCGTCTCTGGAATGTCTTTACATCTATGGCTGCAACGAGACGCTGAAGGAGCGGTGCGCGGAGGACGAAGGTGCCGATTGGCCCAACATTAAACACATCCGTCATATTACTGTCTCAGAGTCAGATCGGTATTAATTGCATTTGAGCCTGATAGTGACTGTTTTGTCCTATTTTGGGCTCACCGCAAAGAAAATGAGAGGTGTGTACATTTTTTTGTCTTTTTCTTTTGTTTGTTTGCTTTTGTGTTCCTAGGAAAGCATATGCCGCTACGCTTGAAACAGGGGACAAGACTTGATGTTGAGCGTCCTGGGTAAAATTTATCCTTTTAGTTTTTTTTGTTTTTTTTTTCAATGTTCCTGATGTTATGTACACTTGCTAGTGTTTTATGTATTTTTGTAGCTATTGTCGCTCAATAATATGTCTAGCTCTAATCTTATGTATGTCTGACTCTTAATTCATGAGTTCTTTATTTATCAAACTTCAGTTTTGTACGTGTTGAGCCACAAGTATTCAATTCGGGCTGTAATTTGATTTATCAATCTTATGTATGTCTGGCTCTAATCTTTAAAAAGGTTCCTGCACTTCACAACTAACATAACGTAGAAGCTACTCGATGAGACTGTTTACAAGATTTTCATGCTGATCTTCATTTCTTACATAGACTTCTCAGAAGAAGGCAGGTTCTCTTTGAGTCGGGCTGTAGTTTGATTTTGCATCTGTTTTCTGCGAGCTTCTTTAGCCGGTGCAGCTATTTCCTTTTCCCTTACCATGCATGAAGTTGGGCTTCTCATATCACAAACAAAAGGTGGAATTTATGATAAATCTACTCCTTATTTTGCATAATAGAGTACGTTCCTAAAATGAAGGGCGAATTTATCCGGTTAATTGCCTTTTTGTGCTGGTGATATGCGGTTCTGCCTTCAAACTTCTTCATATGCCAATTCAGAGAGAAGATATGAGAGTAGAAGTTTGAATCTTTATGTGCAAACTTCCTTATTTGCCTCCCCATTTAAGAAGCTAAATGAATATTGAGGTATTTATATATTTATTCGTCTAAAATTTCAAGTCTGGATCTTTTAATTTCTTTCTTTGTGTCAGAATTTGAATGTAAAGGTTCGCTTCCTGAGTCTACTACATATATAGGTTGAATTTCCCCTTTAGGTCACTACTTGATTGCCTCTTCGTTTGATGCTTTTTGCGTTAATGCAAGGCTATTAATGGCGTTATACAATCCAAGAATGCATTGATTTTCAATTCGCCGTCTACTCATCTTGACTGTAAATCACAATAAAGTCCTTTACGTTTGATGCTTGTTGCGTTAATGCAAGGTTCTTACTGGATTTTTTTTCTAGTTTCATATTAATTATAACTGAAGGGTAGAGGGGATGGCTTGTGATTCGGGGTATAAATATTGACACTGTTCTTTAAGGTTTTGAAGGTTACATATGCAAGTAACATATTTATTAAAGTGGTTGATATAGGTAAATTCCTATTTGGAAGATTACAATCTTTAAAAACCAAGTATAATTGGTTCTTCAGCTCGCACTTTTCTGTTAATACTTTGAACAAAGTAATTTAGGCACTGAATAAGTCAAGTTAGGTGTGTTGGGACGTGTGGGGGCCACGAAGTTTGTGTGAAGAGATTGAACGCGTTTTTGGAGTTCACGCGTCTCGTGGTGGGGCCACATATCCACGAACACGAAAGTCCTAAGTTCCCTCCTATAAATACCTATTTCGGCCTAGGGTTTTGCAGCAAAGAGGGGTGACAGCAAAGTGCAAGGAGAGAATTTTTTTTCGGCTGTGCAAGATTGAGCAGAGGCGGGTACAAGGAAAAACAGAGCGGCGGCTGCAGCAAAGAAAAAAAATCTTAGGGATTTGTGAAGAGAGTTTTGTGCATTCTCTTGTGTTTTCTTTTGTGAGAGATTGAGAGATTGTTTGAGGGTTTAGATTTGAAAGATTGTAAACCCTAGTTGTATTCTCTCCTTCTAATAGTAGATCTCCCCCTTCTTGCCCCGTGGACGTAGGCAGTTTGCCGAACCACGTAAAATTAGTTTGTTTGAGTTTGTGGTCATTGTAATAGTTTTAGGATCCCTCGACGCGCAGTCCTAGAGCTGACGAGAGGAAGAGCTAATATCTCACTTTGATGAGATATTAGGCTTCAGATTCTTGTTCCCTTTGAGAAACAAGAATTCTTATCGATCTTTCTCTCTTATTGTGCACCAGAAACTCTGCCGAAATTTCCGCTGCGCACAACAAGTGGTATCAGAGCTCGGGCTACGCTTGGGCTATTTGGAGGAGTAGATCAATTTGGAGGCTCGTCTAGGGCTTCGTTTGGTGATAAAGGTGGGATCTTTTGGTAAAGACTCTATCCTTTTAGTTTTGTATCTATTCTTCATTTGTTGGTGCGTAAGATGTCAGGGAAAGAAGGTGCTTCGGGTGTCGAGGGTGGTGTGTCACGCCCCGCTTCCCAAAATACTGGGGAATCGGGACGTGAACAAGCCCGCGACGTATTAGACTGAGGAGAGATAAGTGCTAGACCCCGTCTTCTCAATCTAATACGCTAAGCGTCTGGAAATAAGTACAATACGAAGTCACAGGTCCCCGATCACACATAGCAAGAATACAATGAACAACTCAGAATGGAAAAGATACATATCACAAGTAGAATATCATCCGGGACACAGAGATGGGTCAAACACGCCCTTATTACAAAACGGTCCAACAAAAATATAAAATACATAGTCCAACAGAAATAAAAGGAAAGTACTACTAAAATAACTAAATCCAATATCAGACTAAAGTAAGGTTCTGCAAAAGAGATCTAGCGCTTATCAACTACTACATAAAGAAAAGTCTAAGCTTCAGATTGTTCTTCTGATCCATCTGGAAGACCTCACTGCTGCAAATCCTCTGGCTCTTGTACTATCCCGAACTGAGGCTGTCCGTCTCCTAAATCTGACGTACACCAGAGAAAAACA